CATCCTCAGTTGGGTGACAGCTTTGGTGAAGGCCTGTTATTCGCTCACAACTGGCAGATTGTTGCCCCCAGTGTCCTGCTTGTTACAATGGATTAGCTCCTGCTTTCTGAGCTGGTAGCAGTGCCTCCAGATCTCCTGCAAAGCTGATGCTATTAATGAGATTGCCTTCCCCAGCCTTGGATACCGGGCCCACAACTATCAGGCTACCTTTTGTTATTACCTACCTCTAGGGGCCATTGCCATCGCCTCCAGCTAGTCATCAGCTTGAATCCAGACACATGCATTTTGTTAGCAGTCACTGGACTGTGGTAGTATTGTTTTAATGTCTAACTGGAAGACTCTGGAGCCAAGTTTCTTGAACTTGTCTGAGCTGTGATTAAGTCTACAGTGATTCAACCTAGAGCTTTCCAGTGCTTTTTAACTTGCTCCCACATGTTGCATCTACTCAATGAGTCCACAGTGGGTTTTAAAGGGACTTTTCCTTCAAATGGGACATTCTTCATTTTTCTTCCTTGATCAGACCAAAACACAAAGATTTGTTCATTTTTTTTTCCTAAAGGCAATATCCCCTTAAAGGAATAAATAGACTGTTGACTATTTTTACTCAGGATGAAGGAAATAGGGTGAAATCTGTGGCCTTTTCTTTTTTGCCGTGGCCTTCTGGACTGTCTCATGATGCAACGTTAGTTCATCTGATGACATGTTGCAGCTGTCGCTTCGAACGGAACAATGTCTAGGCTTCCCTTTCCCTCTCAGACTGCAAGAGATGGGATAAAATGTTTAATCTGGCTGATTAAGTTCCACAGCTCAATCATCAGGGAGTCCCACACAGCCCTGTGCCAACAAATGACCTTCCCATGCTCCAGACTTGATGTACGTGTTAGTAGTCAGCTCTGGAGGCCTAGAGGCAGGGTGTTTGTTTATGTTGTCAGCTGTCCTGATCATTAAGAGCCATGTGGCAGATGTTACTTCACATCTGGCTAACTGGTCCCTGGGATTTGACAGTTAGTCACAGAGCAGTCTGCTTTGATTCCCAACAATCTATTCAGAGACACGGTCACTGTGAGGGTCACTTACTGTCCATTCCTTCTCAAGCAGTATCTATGATCTAAGGCCATGTTAAATTGTGCAGCTCACCATTTGTTGGGACATTAATTTTGAGCTGTGTACTTGAGTACAGCTGAGCATTGGACTTCTCTTATTTTGCAGCACTCAATTCGAGACATCCTCAAATATTAATGAAAAGCTATGTTCAAGAGGTTTGCTTTTTCAGAGATCTGAATTGCAATATAACATCACTATTTATTTTTCTTTCCTGTTTTGAATCATCCTTGTACCCTTGAACTGTCCCATGTTCTGGCTGGCACTAAATAGATAAATTCAATGATGTTTATATTTGATAGGAAAACAATAGCATGAGTGCTAAAATTGGGAAATATCATTTAGTTATGGTTTGCAAGCCTTACCATCTAAAAGTAGGAGACAAAGGATCACAATGTACAATGGACTGTTGATGACAATCTGCCATTTCAGATTCTCAATTGCGTGTCACTATCTGATTTTGAACAAACAATTTCAAAGCTGATATGTTGGCTTAGATTTTGACTTTTTGCAACCGTATAAAATGGTGAATGGCAAGTTGCAATTATGTTTTCTCACCAGATATTAGAAGATAGAAATTACTGTTGCGGATGATATCAATGTATCACAGTTATCTCTATGCACTCTCAGCTGACGTATAAAATAATTGTGAACATTTCTGTCAAAATAAAGAAATGTACGATTAGACACAAGTGCATTAGGCGTTTGTGCAGAAACACTGCCACTTAATTTCTATCTTCCACTTACCCAATAGTTGCTGGTAAATTGTCTGTTATTCTCTGCTAAAGCATGAATCTTTTTATTTCTTTTTATCCTCAGATGGCCTGGTCACGTTCACTGAATTTCTCCAGTCTGAATACAGTGAAGAAAACATCATGTTCTGGCTGGCATGCCAGGAATACAGAAAATGCAAGTCTCCTGCAAAACTGGCATCGAAGGCAAAGAAGATTTTCAATGAATACATTGCAGTTGAGGCTCCCAGAGAAGTAAGTCTGCATTCATGGAGGAATAGTTTGTGATAGGGACACTTTGTGAGAGAGTGTCTTAAGGAAGATAGACCAAAGGCCATGGTCAGTGGAGGTCAGACATAGGTCAGTAGTGAGTTACTGTTGAAAAAAGACACATTTTGTCTAAGGTTTTTCTCTTGCATATCAGGACAGTTTTAAGAAGCACTAATGAAAAGGGGAACAACAATTTACTCTGTATGAGAAGAGAGTGCTGATTGGTTGGCAAGTGGACTCTGATTGGTCGAGGTGTTGACACAGACAAAATTTTACTTTTACAAAACACGTCTTTCTTTAGTAATACTTAAGTTCTGTGCCTCCAAATAATTATTTGAGTTATGAATGAATTGAATGGCAGAGCTGACTCAAAGGATTACATATCTACTCCTGTTTTGGATATTTATTTGTTTCTAGAAATCATGAGACTGATGATGGAGACTCAATTCTTTTGATAAGTTATGCCTCATCTCCATTACCACTGGGGACCAACATTCCCCCTCTCCAGTGGATATATGGAGAAGGATATTAAAAAAGAACTTACTTTATAGGCAACTTACATCCTCAGGAAGTTCCAAAGTGTTTCACAACCAATTATTACTGTGGATGTGTGGTAACATGGGGAAAACTCAAAAGCTACTTGTACATAGCAAGGCCCCAAAAGCAGGAAATGTGACATATAGCCTGACACCTTGTTTTAGTGACACTGATTGAGAAAGAATGTTAGAAAGGACACCAAGACAAACTTTGTGAATTGTGCCATGGCATCTTCTACATTCATCTGCAAAGAGGAAGCCTGAGTTTAACTTTTCATCCAAAAGTATCACTTTCAACAATGAAAGTTAAAGTGTAAGCCTAGATTATAAACTTAAACATTTTAATAAAGTAGATCATTTTCTCATATTTAACATTTGTTGAAATATGATGGCATAGTTCTCTGAATAAATGTTAAGTATTCCCAGATTGGATATTGCAAACCCAATTAAAAGGGAACCACTTCTAATCTGCTTCCACAAAGTGCCTTAACTCAGCTTCAAGAAAGCAATTCCCAAATTTCTAGCATATGTTCCCATCTTTCATGCCAGGCATTTTGATGGACTGTCTGATGAAGGTTGCCAGTTTAGTGCCAATTGTGATGTGTAGATATGCCAAGGAAAGACTGAGTTGAGGTGGCCCAAACTGAGAACCTTAAAGCTAACCACAAGGTAAACAAGAGAGAGACGGTGAGACTTTCACAAAATATGCTATTGGTCTACATTGCTTTCAATTCAAGTTCTGGAGGTGTCACTGAGAAAGTAAATTGTGCTACCTCGAGTCCTAGTCTGCCCTCAAAATGAGTCAATTAACTTACATTAAAATATCCAAAGATGAATAACTAGCTATGGTCATTCGTATTTGGAGCTCTTTTTGTCTATTCTCTTTATTGTTTAACAATAACATACATTGAAGTTATTTTGATAGCAGCAACATGAAATGATAATAAATTGCAGCAACAGAACATGCCAGTATAAGTAGTCCATTTTGCTTCTCAGCTCTGAGTGAAAAAGTAGAATTTGTTCCATAACTTTGACAGCTTTTTTGCTCCTGGTTTTGCAGGTGAACTTGGAGTCCCAGGTCAGAGAAAAGACCAGAAAGAATATCCTTGAGCCAACGTCTTTAAGCTTTGATGAGGCACAGAACAAAATCCTAACATTGATGCAGAAGGACTCTTACCCCAGGTTTCTCAAATCCAAGATCTACTTGGATTTACTGAATCAGACTCAAGCAAGAAGTTAACCAAACAGCGAAGCACAAACACCTTTGACGTCTGACCCACAGCACTCACATACTTGGTTTACTAGGACTGCCAACACAAGGTTGATGATTCTGTGATTTTAATTTCAAAATCTTTGTTAGGTCACGTTTAAAGGAAAGGTACACATTCTTATTGTCACTGAGAGTTACTGCAGCTAAATTTGGCCAACATAGCACTTTAAATCTTGGAGAATGAAAGCATCTTTTATACCATTTTAGCAAAGGGCAAGGCTAGAATATTTCAATTTTTTGTTTCCAGTAGTATTTTTCTTTTGTGGTGCTACCTTTTTTTGTTTGAGTCCATCAAAATTTTCTGCACTGGAATTAGGCAGAGCAATGTTTTTGATATCAAGGTACACAAACAAGTTTGTGTTCTCAATGACAATGAAATAACTTCAACAGACCTGCTGAATATATGACCTTACCTTCAAGTCAGTTTCAATGTTAAATTTTGGTTACAATGAGCCTGTATGTACACTCTCAAAATACCAAGAGTGATGTGCCCCACCCTCTTCGTTCTCCTATCTTTCAGATTCTATGAGTTGTCATAGATTATGTGGTAGCATCGGGAATCTGAGTTATTCCTTTTCATCTACTGTCGGACAGATTGAAGAAATAGTAAAATACCATGACTGTTGCATTCCAAGCAGTATCACATTGAAAGGCTGAGCCAGTTGGAGACACCATCACCTCCAAATTCCTCTCCACCTCTCGTAATATGCCACTGTGGACATACATCAACAATCAGTGATAGTTCCTGGGTTAAAATTCTTCATACCCCCTCCCTACCAAACTGCATGCGGAGAGTGTCTTCAATGAGTGAACTGCAATAGTTCAAGAAGACTCACCGACAAGTTCTCAAGAAACTGTAGGCACATAAACATTTGCCAGATACGTTCATCATTGAAATATTGAATTACGCACACATGATAGCATCACAACATTGCTGATTATTTTTCAGCTGAAACATATTGATAAAATTATTTTCAAAATGAAACATGACATGGCCTGTTCAGATATCACCCTATACTTACACACAAACTACTTGAACTGTTTTCATTTTTTAAAAAATATATTTATACCACAGTGTAAGAATCTTCACCTCACCAGAAGTGTGTTAGCACACAAAGCAGTGCTGGTGGAATTGATCCGTGGAAGCAACAATCTTGTTTGTTCTGTATGTTTGTCAAACGTGTACTTTAGATACTGAAGTCAATTGTGGAGTTTGACAATATTTGAGAATAATTTATTGTATTCAGGATTAATGTGAAAGTTTAATTATTTTTATACGCGTAATATTCAGTATTGTTGAATCCCAAGTATATCTGAGTTAGTGTGAAAGGCTGCAATGTGATGTACTTTTGCAAACTAAACAACATCTGAATTCTAAGTTTAGATGCAAAGTTGCTCTTATATATTTATTGCCTAAGTTATGGTGCATGGGAATTTGTTTTCATTTTACAGACATAAATAAATTATGTTTCATATTAACCTACTTGTTAAAGTCATTATTATTTTAATCCAGAAATCAAACGCTTGTCATATTTTAACCTGAATTTTAATTCGGCTCCAACCTTATTCCTGAAGGTGGTAACTTTCCTTAGGACAGATCTTCAGGCACTGGCCAGAGAAGGAGGGAGACTGAAGAAAGATGGATCACAAAGGACAAAATCTTTGGTTCCTGGGAAACTATTAGGGAAGGCAGCAGAAAGGGGAGGATGATTGGCTGGGTTGGCAATGAGGAGATTCCCAGCTGCCTTCCTGACATCTCCCTGGTTAGGTTCTGGGGGGGAAGGGCCAAGTGTGACCTCATCACCCCACTACCAGTTGGGGCCTTCAAATGGTCAATTAGTGACTGCTATTATCATTTCAGCTCCAGGCCAGTTGGGAAAGAGAGATCCTACCTGACTGTCAAGCCAATGGGGAAACTTGTCAGTTTGCAGCAGTGGGAGGAGCTCTTGACCTGCAGCAATTTGTGCAAGACTGAGGAACCAGACGTAAACTGGGGGTTTGGGGTGGGATAGCTGAGAGACATCCCACTTTGCACGCTTCCTTCCCCTTCTCTCCATAGCCCCCAAATCATGAAACCCTCTCCCCACCCTAACAAACTACACTTAACTTCCCCAGCAGTGACCATCCATCCTGGGAGTCTGAGGCAGCAGGCACAGTCTCTGAGGTGGCACTGGGTTTCGGATTACCCGGCTTCAACTGAGTGGCACCTCCAGCAGGGCAGGGCCTCCTGGACTGGCGTCCCAATTTCAATTGAAAGTCTGACCGTCCAAAGATCCAGGGGGCTTCCCCACCTTAGAAAGTTGCAGGTCTCCCTCTTGGCAACTTCCCGATTTCATCCGAAAATGGGAAGACCTTGACGAGACAGAAGGATAACAGCAAGAGAAAGGGAATGCAAATAGTAAAGAGAGAAGGAGATAGAGAGACGGGAAAAAAGCTAGCAAGGGAAAGCAAACAAACATCCTGATTTCACTTCCGTCAAGGGAGGGAAAGAGGAAATCTCTTGACGATGCATTGATGATTTGGTTGGCCATTTTATAAGACAATTAAAGGGCATCAATAGCCTCAAGGTGATATTGGTGCATTTATTGCCTTGTTCAGTATTGTTGACATGGCTGCTGCCATTTTCGGAATGGCATCTGCACAGGATCATCCCAGTCAACTATCTGTTTCCAGTGACAGCATCTTCTCTTGAACTTTTTATGCAATGCTCAGCTTTCAGAACTCTCTCCAGGCTTGTGGCAGATGTCAGCTGGGGAACCTGCTTCTACTTATGAGTCCACGTTTTCCAGCAGGACCTCTACTACTGCACCTTGAAAACTTGTAGAAGATGCCAATTAATGTGAGCAAGGGTTAGACATTCAACTCCTATCTCCCCAGAATCTTTCTGTCACCTACAAGGCATGTCAGGGTCCACTTATCTGAATGAGTGCAGCCCCAATATCATGCACCACCATGACTCCTTCCATGCCTGATGCATAAGAGCTGCAGTGTGTACCATCTCTTTGATAAACTGCAGCTACTCACCAAAGTGCCTTTAACAGTACCTACCCAATCCTGACATCCACCACATGACAAAGATGGTCTTAAAAATCGGAGCGACAGGAATAAGGATCCATAAGCAGAAGAAGGTGTGCTGCTTTCTTTGCTGGCATAGATTTTGAACAATGCGATTAGTGTTCAAATTGAAGTGGATTCAGTACTGTGAGAATACATCTTTACTGTCAGGCTTGCATGCAAGATGATGTCCAAGTCTCTTCAGACGATAAGAATGTGGATAGGAATTCATTGCTAAGCCAGAGAGTCACACAATAATTGAAACCATTTTTTAAAAAATCCTTTCATATGAACCAATAAAATCTATGTGAAAGAACATACAAACAAGAGTGGGCCTTTCAACCAATCTGGTACTTCTCCACCATTCAGTTGGTTCATGACTGGTTGTCTCCACCAAAGACATTTTTCTGCACAATCTCCATAATCCTTGAAGTCAATAATCTCCAGAATTCAATCAATTTCTGACTTGAACATGCTCAGTGTTTAAGCTTTTATAATGTTCCAGCACGGAGAATTCTAAAGATTTGTCACACTCTGTGCTAAGGAAGTAAGGGAAAAAGTGGGGATGTTTTGGACTGCGTACACGTTAACTGAGAGGAGGTGTTTACAGCCTTAGAGTACATTAAGGTGGAAAAATCCCATGGGCCTGATCAAGTCCATCCTTGGATGTTGTGGGATGCTAGGGAAGAAATTGCAGAGGCCCCTGCAAAGATTTTTGCTTCATCTTCAGCCGCTGCTTTTTTTTCTTTATTCATTCACAGGATGAGGGTCGTTGCTGGCTAGGCAGGATTTATTGCCCATCCCTAATTGCCCAGAGGGCAGTTAAGAGTCAATCACATTGCTGTGGGCCTGGAGTCACATGTAGGCCGGACTAGGTAAGGATAGCAGTTTCCTTCCCTAAAGGACAACAGTGACTCAGAGGGGTTTTTCCGACAAAGGACTCACAGTGAAGTTCTGGAAGACTGGAAAGTGGCTAATGTTGTTCAATTGTTAAGAAAGGTAGCAAAGACAAGCCAGTGAACTTCAGGCCAGTGAGCCTGACATCATTGCAGTTTAGTGGAGAGGATATTGAGCGACAGGATCAACCAACATTCAGATAGTCAAGGTCTGTTTAGGGATAGTCAGCACGGATTTATGCGTGGGAAGTCATGTCTGATCAATCTTTTAGAGTTTTTTGAAGAGGTAACCATGAGGATGGATGAGGATTGGGCGGTGGATGTTATCTATATAGATTTTAGTAAGGCCTTTGACAAGGCCCCACATGGCAGGTTAGTCATGCAGGTTAGGTTGAATGGGGTCCCAGGAGAGCGAGCTAATTGGATTCAAAATTGGCTCGATGGTAGGAAGCAAAGGGTGATGGTTGAAGGTTGTTTCTCAGACTGGAGGCCTGTGACTAGTGGTGTGCCACAGGGGTCAGTGCTGGGACTTCTGTTATTTACATAAATGATCTGGACGTGAATGTACAAGGCATGATTAGTAAGTTTGCAGATGATACTGGGGATCCTCTCGGAAGGAGTGATCACAGTATGGTCGAATTTAAAATACAGATGGAGCGTGAGAAGGTTAAATCCAGTACCTATGTCCTGTGCTTAAACAAAGGAGACTATGAAGGAATGAGGAAGGAGTTAACTAAGGTAGAATGGGAGCAAAAACTTTATGGTGGGTCAATTGAGGAGTAGTGAAGGACTTTCAAAACAATTTTTCACAGTCCTCAGCAGAAGTATATTCCAGTGATAAGGAAGAACTGTAGGAAAAGAGAGAGCCAGCCATGGATGTCTAAGGAAATAAAGGAAAGTATCAGATTGAAAAAAAAAACACATACAAAAAAGCAAAGAGTAGTGGGAAACTCATAGACTGGGAAATCTTTAAAGGCCAACAGAAAGCCACAAAACAAGTTATAAAGAAAAGTAAGATAGATTATGAGAGTAAACTAGCTCAGAATATAAAAACAGGCAGCAAAAGATTCTATAAATATGTAAATCATAAAAGAGTGGCGAAGGTAAACATTGGTCCTTTAGAGGATGAGAAGGCCAATTTAATAACTGGGAATGAGGAAACAGCCGAGACATTAAACAGTTATTTCGTGTCGGTCTTCACAGTGGAAGACACAAATAACATGCCGAAAACTAATGGCAAGAAGGTTATAGCAGGTGAGGACCTAGAAACTATCATTATCACTAAGGAGGCAGTGCTAGGCAAGCTAATGGGGCTAAAGGGAGACAAGTCTCCTGGCCCTGATGTAATGCATCCCAGGGTACTAAAAGAGGTGATGGGGGAAATAGCAAATGCACTAGTAATTATGTACCAAAATTCACTGGACTGTGGGGTGGTTCCTGCAGATTGGAAAACAGCCAATGCGACGCCACTGTTTAAAAAACGAAGTAGACAAAAAGCAGGTAACTATAGGCCAGTTAGCTTAACTTCGGTAGTGGGGAAAATGCTTGAATCTATCATTAAGGAAGAAATAGCGAGACATCTGGATATAAATTCTCCCATTGGGAACACCCAGCATGGGTTCATGAAGGGTAGGTCATGTTTAACTAATTTGGTGGAATTCTTTGAGGACATTACTTGCATGGTGGACAATAGGTAACCTGTGAATGTGGTGTATCTGGATTTCCAGAAGGCATTTGACAAGGTGCCACACCAAAGGCTGCTACATAAGATAAAGTTGCATGGTATTACAGGTAATGTATTGGCATGGATAGAGGATTGGTTGACAGTAGAAAGCAAAGAGTAGGGGTAAATGGGTGTTTTTCTGGTTGGCGGTCAGTGGCTAGACTGTGTGCCTCAGGGATCAGTGTTGGGACCGTAATTGTTTACAATTTACATGGATGATTTGGAGTTGGGGACTAAGTGTGATGTGTCAAAATTTGTAGATGACACTAAGGTGAGTGGTAGAGCAAAGTGTGCCGAAGACACTGAAAGTCTGCAGAGGGATATAGATAGTCTAAGTGAGTGGGCAAAGGTCTGGCAGATGGAGTACAATGTTGATAAGTGTGATGTCATCCATTTTGGTAGGAATAACAACAAAATGGACTATGTTTTAAATGGTAAAAAATTGCAGCACGCTGCTGTGCAGAGGGACTTGGGTGTCCTTGTTCATGAATCGCTAAAAGTAGGATTGCAGGTGCAGCTGGTAATTAAAAAGGCAAATGGAATTTTATCTGTCATTGCTAGAGGGATGGAGTTTGAAAACAGGGAGGCTATGCTGCAGCTGTGTAGGGTCCTGGTGAGGCCACACCTGGAGTACTGTCTGCAGTTTTGGTCTCCTTATTTGAGAAAGGATATACTAGCACTGGAGGGGGTGCAGAGGAGATTCACTCAGTTGATTCCAGAGTTGAGAGGGTTGAATTATGAGGAGAAACTGAGTAGGCTGGGATTATACTCATTGGAATTCAGAAGAATGAGGGGAGATCTTATAG